TCGAAAATATCAGCAAGCGCCAGAGGCGGAGCGACTCTGATGCCACTCCCACTTTTATCGGACGTCTCGGAATTCTTGCGGCTCCGACCGATTTCACCGCCCCCGCTGTTCCTCGCCATGGCTGGGGCCAAGTGCCATCGACGCGCTAGCCTCGATCCCAGGGGGCCAGCAGGTCCGCGGCAAGCTGGGCTTCGCTCGCGTGCGTCGTGAGTGGCTCCGGGCCAGCCCCATCGCGTCGCCTCCTCCGTTGTCCTTTGCTCGGTCTTTGGCGCGCGCCTGCTGGCGCGCTTCCTCCAGCCTCTGGCGCCGCGGCCGCTGGCGGGCCCAGCGCGCTCGAGATCGCCTCGGCTACTCGGCGGTGATCTTCGGCCGCGAGAAGGCCCAGGATCCCAAGCGTGGTCTGGTCGGACTTCCCCCACTCCTCCATTGGCCTGCGCGCCGCGGCTTTGGAGCTCAATGATGTCGGGATCTCCTCTGCCTAGGGGGCGCGCTTAGAAGTTGACCCACAGAGCGATCACCGAATCCACAAGTCAGTCCAAAGCCTAGACGATGTTCATGGGAGAGTCTGGTCGGGGCCCACGCGCGCAGAGCACGCTGTCCGACAGATCGCCAGAGCCCGCTGCCTGCAGACGATCAATCTTTCCTGTCGGGGCGCGGAGGGGGCCGGAGAAATCGACCTCGAAGCTTCCTCCGACCAGACCTTCGCCAAGTTCGTAGCCTCGTTCGCCGACGCTGGCCGCGGCCTTCTGGCCACTTGCAGCAGCAGCGCTGTCGCATCAGAAACGAAACTTTGGACGGGCCCTTCTTGCGAACATTGCGGCAAGTCCTTTCCCAGTTTCGGCCATCTAGCTGCTGAGCGCCCATTGCGCCGGGGCCTTCGAGACGCCGTGGCGTCGCAGTGCCCGCTCCATGCGCCGTTCTGAAGTTCGCTCCCCCGCGCGACACCAAAGTCTGGATGGGTGGCCATCTCCTTGGGGCAATCTTCACGATCGTGCCAGAATGCAGACCGCCCGTTGCTCAATGGGGTCTCCATACTGCAGCTGGGCATAGAAGTTACACTTACAGATGCTACGTCTCTTCCATCAGGAATGAGACCACGCGCGGCGCTGGCACTGCGATCCTCTACGCGTGAGCCCAGATCATTAGGACAGTCTATGCCGCCCAAAATTTTATATGCAGCAGGGCAAAAACCACGCGTAACGCTAGGTCTGCGATTCTCTACGCGTAAGTTCAGATCACTAGACAGTCTTTCCAACACAAAAAGCAGTTTGCTTTTTTTTTCTCTCTCCATATTCGATTTTGATTGTCGTCCTGGGCATACTTGTGGACTCGGCGATGGAGCTTCTCTCGCCAGATTCAGCGACGTGCGCCCGCCGACGCATTCACGGGGAGCGCAGGCAAGCCGCGGAGCTCTAACGCCTCTGCAAGGACGAGGACACCGACTGCTCAGGCAAGCTGACAGAAGAGCCATTCGAATTGGGCTTGTCCGGGCATCGCAGACCACGCCTGCTCATTATGACGGGGCTGAAGAAGCACCACATCTGAGAATTCTTCGCATCATTGGCCAAAGCAGCCGATGACGGCGGGCAGGTTACTACCCATATTTTTGTGAGAGGGCGCATGCTTCTCGAGGGGGCCAGCGCCAATTCTGATGCGCAGAAGATGCGCGTGGAGAGCCAGCGCGCCTATGCCGCTATCACCCAGCTGCCAAGGGGCATCGCTGCGCCGAGCAGGCCCGCTAGTGTTGCCGCGGCAGGGAACCTGCGGTTGGACCCGCCGAGATTCGCCCCCCCCCTTCCCCCTGGCCGCCTCGCCCCCGCCGCCCGCAAGGCGTCGCGTAGTTTTGCCCACGCAGGCGCTCTCGCCAACAACCCCGAGGAGCTCCTCAAGGCCCCAAGCTCGAGACTTCCGCCTCCTCCCCTCGCGACATCCGACCTCATGTGTCGCTGGTCTCGCCTCGCTGTACCCGCGCTCAACGCGGTCGCCGCCTGCCCCCCTGCCTGCCGCGTGTGGGCTTCAGGGGTGCTTCTGGACTTGCTCCCTTTCTTGGCGGACCTCGCGTGCTCGATGGAACCTGCCCCCTCCTCCTCCTTGCCCCCCCCTTCGCTCGCGGACGCGGAAGCGACGGTGCAGTTTTGAAAGGTGCAGTTGCGAGCAGTTCAGTGCCTGGCCCCCCCGCTCCGGCATCGCCTCCGAGCGCGACGAGGCGGCGCGCGCTGCTGTCTGCGACGCGCCCGATGGCTGCGAGCGCACGCGCGGGCCCGAAGCTGCGGCCAGCTAAGCCAGCATGGGTGGACAGGGGACGGGGCGGGTGGGGGAGAGGAGCTTGCATAATGATGCGTTTTCCCCCTCCTCGGCGGCTGCCCCACGCCCTACGCCTGCGCGCCCACTGGCACTCCTGGGATAGGATCCTTCGAGCGCTGATTATTGCAGGAGACGTTGTTGCCGCCACTTTGAAATTTAAGTTCGAACGAGACATTCTGTACACCGCGAGTCGTTTGTATCAGCCGAACATCCCGGCATAGGTCTGCATACGCGCGTTTCCACGCTTTCAGCTCAGGTGCTGAGTGCCAGAGCGCACCTGGCGCTTTGTAGCGGAAGAAAATATAGTTGATTCGCGGTTGGGAAGACCAAGAAAGGTGTTCTGGCATGGTTTAGGATTGTCAGGGTGCAACAGCCACGTTAATTCGCGGCGTCGAAGTGCCAGGAATGGTGTCTTGGTGCGGTGCGGGGTTGCCAGGACGTAGCAGTCGCGTTGATTCGCTGTGCTGAAGTCCCCCAATGTGTATTTTGGCACGACATATGATTTTTATACGATTGCTGTACAAGGGGGCAGTGCACGCGATGAAAACATCTTATCATAGGAGCTTATGACGAGGGAGTTCGGAAGGAGTGTGTTTGGCAATATCGTTGACGCGCCTTGGCCTTACATTTGTCCTCCTCCTCCTCCTACTCCTCCTCCTCCTCCTCCTCCTCCTCCTCCTCTCCTCCTCCTCCTCCTCCTCCTCCTCCTCCTCCTCCTCCTCCTCTTCCCCCTCGCGCTCCGAGGCCCGCCAGCAGCTTAACTTGAAATCCTGTGCGGGGGAGCCTCCACCGCCCCCGCGCCCTTGGCCCGCCGCTGGTTCCCACGCTGCTGTTTCCCCCCGCGTGGCTCCCCAGTTTTCCGGCCACCCGCTGCTCCCCTTCCCCATTTTGCTGAGCTCCGCCCCCTTTGCGGTTGCTGGCCCCCGCCCGCGGGTGCATCGTGATGCCGCCCTGCGACAGCTGCCAGGGGTTGCCCTTCAGCTCGGCCGCCCCCGCGCGCTCGCCGCAGCGCTGCGTGAGAGTGCCGTCGCGCTCGGTTCCCTCTCAGTGTGGCCGCCCCCTCGCCTCTTCCTTTCTTCCTCCATGTGGGTTAATTCGCGGTTCCGTGCCCCGGTCTCGCCCAGACGCGCGTGCGGATTTCCCGCGCCGCGCTGCGACGTAAATGTGTTTGTTGTGAGGGGGCGGCCGGGAAATTTCCAGCGCAGCTGCATTCGCAAGGGCTCCCACGAGGGCGCGAAGTTATTCGCGCTTCGCGCTTCGCGGTCCTCGTTCCTTCTCCCCTCTCCTCCTCGTCCTCCTTTTCTCCCTTTGGGGGGGCGGCGCGAGGGCGCGAAGTTATTCGCGCTTCGCGGAGCGCGAAGCGCGAAGTTGGGAGCCCTAGATTCGTGGCAGTTGACACTTGGGGATCCCAGCGCCGGCAAGCTTGCCCGAGCCTGTCGCGGGTCAGAATGTTCCGTGAGCTTTTGCTGGAGGAGTTCGCGATTGTACCACAACGCGAACAAAAAAACACTCCCTGAAAGGCATGCAAGCGCTGCGGAAGTGCTGCGAGGGGCGGAGCGGCTGGCGCAATGCCTCTTACTCCAGGGGGGCGTCTTCCAGAAAAACCGGCACCTGAAGGAAATCCTACGTTTCAGTTTTTTTGCATTCCTCCTAGACGCGTTGGGCGTGTGCCCACATTCGGGGCGGCCAGGGCTGGCGGGGTCTGGGAGGAGGCGGGGCGGTATAATCGTTCCAAAATTCAGCATGAATGATGGTTCGGCGGGCAGATATAACGCATCTCCAGGTCAGTGCCATCGATTATCTCGAGTGCGTCCTAGAGCAACTGCATCCGAGCTGTGGCGTCTTGGGTCACACCTGTCAGCGAAGTGGTTGCCCATGGCTTGACACCCTATTCATCCCAGGCGTTGCACGCGGAATGGGACTCGGCTTTGCGAAACTCAATGGGCCCATTGTGGATTACGTAGGTGGCCCGAAGATAAAGCCAGAGGTCGCGGTTTAAGCGGGGCTTTAAAAGTGGGTTTGTTTTAAGATGTGTTTGGCATTGGAGGTCCAGAACAAGAGTGGTGTTTGACTGGGCGTGGGTGATCCCGTGGATGGCGGCCTTGTGCTCCCCCCGTTTGGTGGTTTGGCTTCTTGTCAAGCCGCGTAGAGTTCCTAATGACCCATAGTCGGCATCAGAAGCTCCTAGCACCCAGCCAACGCGCCGTTTTCGTAGGTTTGTGTGTATGGGGACGGGGCCCCCAGTGGCACCGGTCCCCCCCAAGGCATTCACCGTTGACTGGCAGATATTGCAAAACGAACGCTCCCCTGGCAGACACTGCGTAGCGAACACAAAACGACGCGATGGATGGCTCGGCGGGCTGCACCGCTACCGCTGCTCCCCGCCATGGCACTCGAACTGTTGGACTCGGTAGTGGCTGGCTCGGCAATGGCTGCTAGGCTAGGGCAAGGCAGGAGCCGATGCCATTCGTTCTCTACGGGCGCTCTGCACGTCGGGCGAGAGGGCGGTACGTCGGGCTTGCAGGAGTGGAGGCGGCCACATGTCAAAATAGCTCTTTTGCTGATGGCACGGCGATCCAGCCCCGGGGTCCGACATGATAGATTTCGAGGTCCAGGAGCTCCTCGTTCTTTTCCTCATCCTCCACCTCCTACTCCTCCTCCTTTTTCTCCTCTCCTCCCTCGCGCCGGTCGTCCAGGAATGTGCTCGTTCGGTTCAAGTTCTTCACCCAGTTCTTGGCCGAACACCATCCGGCCGTGGCTGACGAGGCTTCCATTGGGGCATGTAGCTCTTGCACCGAGTTATTTTTTCTTCGCACCCTCGCGCCCACCACTCTTCATGACAGTTGTGCGTTCCGATGCAGTCTTGGCCTGCGCGCGCGGTGTAGTCACGCGACGTTGGGTTCGGTCGTGCGCACGTGTTTGTTGGCTGCACGTCTGAAGAACAGCATGTCTGGAGTGGATTGTCAGGGGGACAGGTGAAGCAGCACTACGTCCTGACGATGAGCGGCGTCTACCTCAAGCAGTTCAAGACGTACGTGTCGTCTTTGCAGGAGCGAGGGAGGAAGAGGGTGAGGAGAAGGGGATGGGGAGCAGGAGGAGCTTGTCAGTAATCATTGGGAGAAGCACGAGCAGGGGAGGAGGAGAGAAAGTTGAGGTGGAACAGAATCGGGAGGGTCAGGGGGGGAGTTGGAGGAGGGCGGTTCGTTTTTCATATTCTGCCGAAGGCACCTCGAAATTGAATCGGAGCAGTTCGATCCGAAGAGCTCAGGGCGGATCCTTCTCTCACCCTGGGACCGTTTCTGCCTGCAGCGCCCAGACTCCGCTGCTCCTCAGACAGATCCAGCCGAGCGCTCAAGGTCTGGCGCTTGTTAACTTCGCAAGAACATGCGATCTTGCAATGGAGGCAAACGATTAAGAAAATGTCCCAACCGCCTCCCCCGTCCCGGGGGTGAGTGGGGCAGACTACTTGAATTCAGCCGACAGAAGCTGTTTTTCATTTAACAGCAAAAATCAAAAAAGTCCGCCCCAGAAAGTTGTTTTAAACAAAAAACGTGTGCCTCCATTAACCGGATCTCCCAACGACTGGATTGGGCGCTTCAGCCCCTTTCTACGACACCCTTGCGGTGCAATCACGGCCACCAACTTGCGGTCCAGTTCTGGCCACCTAGTTGCGGCCAAGTTTCAGCGCTTGTGGTGTCCGCCCCCTCCTCCTCGTCTTCCTGACCCACCTCCTTTTCGCGTGCAAGTTTACGTGTTGATTCGCGTAGCTAGGGAAAGCTTGTCCGTGTCTCGAGTAATTTTAGTTTAGTCTGGTTGATGTTCCATTGCGTTTCGTCGTCACCCCGAGGTTGTGCAGCGCTGGTTGCAGTGAACGACATGTGCGGTGCAATCTCGCAGTTCGCAGTTCGCAGTTCCTCCTCGGAGACCCGAAGCACATGGCCAGAGGGTCGGGCCTATGGCCTAAGGTCGGACCGAGGTGTAAGATCGAGGTCGGTTCAGGGAGGGTACCCTGATGTTCTTCGTTTTGGTTGGATGTTGTTGTGCATCCTGGAGGAGGGTATCCTCGAGTGTTCTTCAGTTTGGCCGGCGGAGGGCATCATGTTCTTGAAGGATGCTGTTTCCGTCCTAGGTCCGGCCGCATGGCCCATGGCCCCTCCTGGGGCGGACGGGAGGCCGACGAGCGGGCGGACCCCAGGCAGCCCCAGGAGGTACACGAGGGTCAGTCCGAGGCCACCACGGAAGGGCAGCTGCCGCCAGAGCAGCAAAGGTCTGTTTTCAAGCTCGTCGTGCTTCACCGAGCGCGTTCCACTGCTCGCGGAGTGCCCATTCGCAAACGTCCGAAAACGACAACACACGTCTGCCTCGATAACGTGTATCGTAGATCCCCCGCGGCGGATCCAGGCCGTCTGCGTGCAGCGACCTGGCGAGTCTTGGAGCGCGCTTGCCCAGTGCTCCGAATTCTGGGGGCCCACGCGGGGCTGTCCCCGAGCGGACGCACCGCGCCCCCCGTGGCGTTCTCTCCTGTGTGTGCTCGCGCCCGCCGCGCCTCCAGCGCCAGAGGCCTCGGAGGAGGAGACGGATGCGGGAGGAGACAGGCCCGGACGGTCACGATCGACTGGTGACGATGGACAGAGAGTGATCAGCGGTTCGTCGAAGAACAAATGATGGCACAAACATAAACGTTTGGCGCTCCGCGCGATTTTCCTGGATCTGCGCTGGGAACCCCTGGCGGCGCCTGCGGCGCCACCCGTGGCGTCCAGGAAATCCGCGCGGAGCGTCGAAAATTGATGTTTACGCCGTTTCTCTCTTCTAGACTCGTGCATTGGCCGCCCCGTCTGCATGGTCGTCCCCCACGTGACTAGAGCGCACGAGGTGGCGGCAGTCCAGGTTACACTGTCAAATGAGTCCTGGCACCTTCACGGTCGCAGAAGCGCATGCCTCCCAGCCCGAGCCTCTGCATGACCAGCCAGGACAGACAGGGGAGGAGGAGGAGGAGCTTTCGAAGAGGATGGTTGCAGGTTGGAGTGGTGGACAACATTTGCACTTATCTGGAAGCGTGGCGCTGCTCAGAATCCTGGCTGCTTTCAGCGGGGAATGCACGCCCCTTCTTTGTCTGCCTCACCTTCCATGGCCCGTTCATTCTCCACCAGTCCTCCCCCCGCCCACATCTATGCTCACCCCTATCCACTCTCCCCTCTTCTCATCCAACCACCTTCTCATCCCTCTCCCCTCTTCCCCACCATCACCCCCCCCCTCTCCCCCTATCCCCTCCTTCCCTTCCCACAACGCCTTCCTCCAGTCCCACATCGCCTCTTGCTCCCTGCCACCTTGCTCGCGCCCTGCCCAGAAACTGGAGCTGGAGTACTCCCCGACGAAGGCCCGCGCTCACCCCCCCGACCGTCTGCCAGGCGGACGAGAGGGAGGAAGAGGAGGGGGAGCAGGAGAAGGAGGAGGAGGAGGAGGATGACCAGTGTAAACCCAAGAGTCACCAACGATGTTGCAATAAACCCTCTCCCCAAGCTCCCTCTTCATAGGCCCCTACAGCGGTTCATTCCCACAGAGGCTTGCCTTGTTGGAAGACTGTTTGAAGACCCTGAAGCAGTCCAAAACAGTATTCCCGGTATCCCAACGCCACGGACAAACTTGATTGTTGCGTTTTGACGATCCAGAATCGTGCCAGAACGCCATTCTTGGGATTTCGACACCACGAATCATTGTAACTGTTGCGCCTTCATAATCGTGAGTCCGTCCAAAACACCATTCCTGGTACATCTATCATGGGAATCCGTGAAACTCTTACAACTGTTTGCACGAATGTGCGCGGCGCTAAGGCGAGAGTCACGTTTTAAAAATTAACCGCCCTCAATCCGTGGAACTCTTGCAAATGTTCCGCAAGAATGTGCGCGGCGCTAATGCGAGAGCCACATTTTAAAGACGACCCGCCCTCAATCCGTGAACATCTTGCAAATGTTGAAAACGAATTTGCGCTGCGCTAAGGCGAGAGCCACATTTTGAAAACGGCCCGCCCTCCATTTGTGAAACTATTGCCACATGTGTGAGGAAGTCTTAGGCGACACGCCCGGCCCGCCCTAAAGACTTGCCTCGGGGTGCGACAGGGAGAAGTGATTTATAAGGAAAAGGAATGGAGGAGGAAGAGGAGGAGGAAAGGAGGAAGAGGAGGAGGATAATGTGAGGACGGGGAGAGGAGGAGGAGGAGGAGGAGGAGGAGGAGGAGGAGGAGGACAGGGGGAGGACAGGGGGAGAGAAGGAGGGGTGGGAGAGCAGGAGGGGTGGGAGAGCAGCAGGTGGGAGAGGGGAACACCAAGACATCCCTGCTGTGGATCGCTTAGATGTTTGCCCGTGCTTCTGCCCGTGATGCGAGGCTCTTTCGGGGAAGAGGCGAATGTCGTCATTGTGCCGAGGGCCCGCTTGTTATAATCATATGCATCTTGCCCCCATTCACACGGGTGATAAAGGGGTAGACACGTCAGTCACACAGCGCCCACCATTAGGGCGAACAGTGTTCGCATTTGTTCTGGCCTTTGCGTCGCCTCATATGCAGGCGGACGCGTGGCCCAGTCCCCATCCATGTCTTCGGTGAATTCACCCTGCCAATCGTTGCTTGTCCCTTCGGTGAATTGCTCTCTGGTGTCTGGCTCTTCGGAGGGAGCAATGTGGGTCGTCTAGAGACGCCTCACTTTATCGATGTGTTCCGCCAGGAGAGGGTCTTTGCCATGAGGTCGTGCCGCTGGAACACCTGTGAGAGATTACGGATCTTTTGTCACTTGTCTTAGAACTCTCAAGCGAGCCGTTCTTGGGGATCCGGTGTGATGCGGAGGAACGTGGAGTGGAACGGCGCAGTGGTTTTGCAGAAGTGCGCAGAGGGGCATCGGAGGAGATTGTGGGAGGAGCGCCTGGCAGGTGGATTGGGCCCATCCCAGGGAACGGAGCAGCCCCCGCTCGGACCTGAACATCCGACAGGGGCGCCCGCCCCTACGTACCACCAGAGTGGACCGCCCAGGCTTGCGGAGGGCGTCGTAAGGGACGGGCTCTTGCGCGATGTTTTCGAAGCGCGAGGTGCCCCCCGGATGCGTTTGTCTTCGCGCTTGCGTCCGTTCGTCTTCGCGCTTGTGCCGGGGCGGCACCCAGGTGCTTTTGATGCGAGGACAGAAGAAAGTATGGAGGAGTCAGAGGAGGCCCCGACCTCGCGTGTGGGAGAGCCAGCGCTAGTTGGCCGTAGGGCCACGCAGGGAAGTAGTTCCGCGCAGTCCTTTAGGCTGTTCGCGCCTGCGCGTTAGGCCCGCCTGCGCGTTGGACCCGCCTGCGCGTCAGACGCGCTCGGGACAGCCTCGTGCTTCCGATCGCCGCCCGAAGGTTCTGGAGCAGGGTCCTGAGCTTGGTCCTGACAAGGTCCTGGGAGGATCCTTCGATTGGCTCGGAAGAGTGAGGCTACACGGTAGAAAACATGTGCCGGGCAGCTAGCAGGGAAGTTGGCCGGCAGCGTCAGGCGACGCTGCCGCGACCCTCTCGGATCCCTGGAGCGGAGCCCCGTCGCAGGTCGAAGGGCAGAAGAGACGGCCACGCCCTCGAGCCTCCCAAGACCTGGGGTTATGTCGGGCCTGTCCCCCTACAGGGAGATTTTCGACGAAAACTGAAAATGAGTGCAAAATCCCCCTGTAGGGGGACAGGCCCGACTTCGACCTGGGGCCTCGCACCTTCGAGACCTCGAGCGGTCTTGGGCCTCCCGGGGCGCAGGCGGACCTGCTGGTCAGCGGCGAGTGGCACTCCGGCGGCGCCGCGGGCCGGTTCCTGGACGGCCTCGGCCTCGGCAGGCCTCGGGCGGCGGGGGCGGCGAGGAGGCAGAGGGGCGAGGTGTCGGAGGCCACGTGCGAACCCTGCCCCGCCACCCCTGGATTTTCGAGGGGGGAGGAGGGGGAGGAGGAGGGGGAGGAGGAGGAGGAGGAGGAGGAGGAGGAGGAGGAGGGGAGGAGGAGGAGGAGGAGGAGGAGGAGGGGGAGGAGGGGGAGGAGGAGGGGGAGGGGGGGAGGGGAGAGGGGCGGACTATGATGGTCTTCCCCCCCCCCCCACGCGGGGCGCGGGTCGGAGGCCACGTGCGAACCCTGCTCCGCCACCCGGGGTCACTCGTCAATTCGTGCGGGACTTCCCGAGCGAAGTGAACCCCACCTTCCCGCCTCGGAAATCGTGGGGTGGCGGGGCAGTGTTCGCACGTGGCCTCCTAGAGGGCGGCGTCACTTCGTTCGGGACCTCCCGAGCGAAGTGAACCCCACCTCCCCCCCTCAGAAATCTTGGGGTGGTGGGGCAGGGTTCGCACGTGGCCTCCCAGAGGGCGGCGAGGAGGCGGGGGGGGGGATCAGGAGGCCCTCGCTCGAGGTCCAGGATTCGAGGTGTTCGCGAGCTCCTCCTCGCCCTCTCTGGGCGGGCCTCGGGGGAGGGGCTCGTTGTCGCCCCGCGGCCTCGCTGCGAGATTTCTGGTCGGAGCGCATCCCCGGACGGATCCAGGGGCCGACTTCTGGACCCCGGCCTTGGAACACCTCGCGTCGCGGCACAACAAGGCGAAGGAAGGTATATCGTGCATCCAGGGGCCCTCATCAGGCGATCGCAAACATGGATCAATGGGGCGTGGATTGGCGACGGGTCCCGTTTCCCTGGGACATCGCGGATTTCCGACGCCGAGCGAGGCGGCACTGGCCGCGTTTTGGGGAGGGCACCTCCCCCGATCCATTGATTTGGCGACCGCGCGCCAAATCCAGGGATCGCTAATCCATGTTTGCGCGCCCCCGACCTTAGCGGCCCCCTGCATCGTCAATGAACGATTCGGGACGACAGAGCGATCCACGGGAAGGGGACCAGATCTTTGGGGAGCCACGCTGTGAAACAAGAGATGGCATTGGATATCCAGGGAGGTGGTGAACGTGTGCGGGAGAGGAGGAAAAGTAGGGAGGGCCGTAAATGCGGGAGGGGGGGACCAGGAAGAGAGGAAGACGCCAGGAAAGCAGGATGGCAGACGTGGGCGGGGAGTGCGGTGGCGAAGAGGAGGAGGGGCAGCAGGAGGAGTTGGTCAATGGGGTATCTGGGCAGGGAAAAGGTTGGAGAAGAAGGGGAGCAGGAGCACGTAGACCCCCGAGGGTAGGCCTACCCTAGTTAGGCCTATCCCTGGGGCCTACCCCTAGGCCTATCCCTAGGCCTACCCCTAGGGCCTACCCCTAGGGCCTACCCTTGGGTCTACCCTAGACTTACCCCTGGGGCCTACCCTTAGGCCTAACCTAGGCCTACCCCTAGAACACCCCAGGGTAGGGTTTCATTATGCTACCCTAGGGCTGCGGCCTAGGGTAGGGCCTAGGGTAACTAGCCTACCCCTCCAGGGTCTACATCGGCGGGAGAGGAGGGCCTACCCCAAGGCCTACCCCAAGGCCTACCCCCAAGGCTTACCCCCAAGGCCTACCCCTAGGCCTACCCATAGGGCCTCCCCTTAGGGCCTACCCCAAGGCCTAACCTTATTCGGCCTACCCCTAGGCCTACCCATAGGCCCTACCCTAGGCCTGCCCTATGCCTACCCCTGGGGCCCACTCCTAGACCTACCCTAGGCCTACACCTAGGGCCTACTCCTAGGGCCTACCCCTGGGGTCTACCCCGGACCTTCGTCGTTGAAGTCGTCGCCGTACTCACCGCCCTCGCCGTCGCAAACGTTGCACTCGTCGCCGTTTCGTGTTGCCGTCGGTTCCCCGACGATGCGTTTCGATACCAGCGTTGCGATACTGGCGTTGCTCTCGCCGCCGGCCAGAATTCGAAACGCGTTTCGTGCTTGCCGAATCGCACCGACCCGTCGCGGTCGTCAACGTCGGGCCTCGGCCTCCGAGCGCAGAGGGGTCTCCCGCGTTGGGGCTCTCGCGTGCCAGTCGGACGATGCACCATACTTTAGTACATACGTTCGTGTCCCCCCCCCCCGCCCGACCCGACCTGCCCGTGAGGGCCCGGCCCGCCCGACCAGGCCCGGCCGTTGGGGCCCTCGCGTGCCAGCCGGACGATGCACCATCTTTGAATCTATAATTTGATGTCCCGCACGCCCGACACGACCCGCCCGTGAGGGCCCGGCCCGCCCGACCAGGCGCGGCCGTTGGGGCCCCGGCCGCCCGTAGAGCGTACCCTAAGGATTTGCATACATTTACCCTTTGGTTTTTCTTCTGGGCTTACCATGGGCTCTCCTCGGGTTACTGTGGGCTGCCCCATGGGTCGGGTGGGTGGTAATGTGGGTGACCAAAATGGGGGTTGAAGAAATGGGCCCTTTAAGGCCTCTTTTGTAGCCAGTTAGAGCCGTAATGGGGTCTCTCAGGACCGTTTTCTTCACCCCCCTGATTAGGTCACCCCCCACAGCCACCCGCCCGAGTGGGTCCTTCGCCAGGGTCGATTTCTGAGCTGCCTCTCCAGGGTTCGAACCCGAACCTCGGCTCGTAAGGTTTCTGGCCCGAAGGGCCCGCCTGGTCCCCGCCGCTGACTAGGTCTTCGCCGACTGCTTCAATGTAGTGGCATCGCTGTGCTTGACCTCCTGCGGCCCGAGATGCGGCTCGGGAAATGAAGGGACGAGGGGGTCGCTGGTCACACGCACCGAACGCGGGCGCCCCTCCAGTCCAGCATCGGTGCCCCGCGCGCTAGTCCCCCTACTTATCCCCCACCCTCGATCTCACCCAATTGGTGGAGGTGGGCGGAGGAGGTCGAACGCAGGGCTGTGGTGGCGTATGCATCGCATCGTGCCTACGTGGGCCAGCGGCATGTCCGGTTTGAAGTGACAGAGTTCGAAGGTGTGTTTGTCGAGTTGAACTCGACACATACAGAGCCGATATCTGTCACAATCGACATCTGTCACTGCGCCTTGAACGAGCGAAACTCGGCAATCGACACAGGAACTCCTTCTGGGAGGGCGAGTGCAGAGTATAGTTGCCAGGCTGACGGGAGCTTCTGTTGGGTCTCCCTTTTGGCTGGACCTTTGGAACTGAGATGTGTTGTTTGCACGATGGCATGTACACGCTTTTATACAGACATGCCGTATGCGATATGGCTCTTGCTATAAAACGCGTGTGTGCACACACGGGCGTACGCGTTTGCAAGTGCTTGTTGCGCAAGGCAGTGACGACCTCTTTGATAATCGCGATGCGCGCGTCGTATTGTGTCCCTCTTCCTCATCCCTTTTTTTACCCTCCTCTATTTCTCCTGCCTGTGCACTTGTTATTCGGCTTCGCCCCAGAAGCACCAACACCGGGGCGATTCGAAGGCAGCACGTGCTCATCCCTCGCTAGCCGAATATCTTGATTCGGTTCGCTCTCTTCTCCCCCTCGCTCCCATTCGCGTTCCGGATTCACGAAGACAAAGCTATAGTCTGTTCGTTTGCCTGGCTGCCGTGGTTCTCCCACGGCCTCGGCGGCGCGCCCCGGGGGGGAAGTGAGAGAGGGCAGGGCCTCTCGGGAGGTGGCGGGGCGCCTCAGAAGACCTCCCGCGGCCCCACCGCCTGGAGGTCCTGGGCCTGTTGTGTCTGGCACGAGCCCCCGGAGGCCCGCAGCAGTGTATGTGATCGATTTCGCGAGAACAGCGGCATGGAGTGCTGAGAGGTTGTTTGAGCCCTCTCCCTGGACACGGCTTCTCAGAAGGCCAGGGAGCTTCCGAGAAACCCCGCTGCCTTCTGGGAAGGCCGGCTCCGTTCTCATATCCGCCCGGCTCGCCGAAGACAGTCACTCCTCTTGCCCCTCCCCAACAATCACTTCTCCTGCCCCTCTCCTGTCTCCAGCGCCGGGAGGCGCCAGAGAAACCCGCTGCGAGAGAGCTCATTCATTACCCCCCATTCTGTTATCTTCCCATTCGTCCGACCCGACATCAATTCTCCTGCCCCTGCCCATCTCTGCCACTTCCGATAGTGGATTGGGAGGGCCAGAGACTGAATGAGCGGCGCCGCCCCGGCGCCGCGCGCCCACTCCCAGCTCTTGGCATCGCTTGGAAGTGTGCATTTTTTCTCGGCGAGAAACCACGAGGACCATCCTGGACCATCGAGGAAAACAAACACGCACGACACCGAAAAGTGCACGGGAAATGGACGTCCGAGCGACGGCCAAGAGCCCAGCCGTCCTCGCAGACGAACTGGGAGTCGCCTCGGCTGGCCGCGCCTCGCCTCGCCTCCTTTCTCACGCCCCAAGGCTTCTGCAGTCCCTCCCATCTCTGCCCCCGCCGATGGTGGCCTGGGAGGGCCGTCAACCTCAAGGACAGCATCCGACGCGGCCGTGCCTCCCCGGCAGCTTTTGTGCGACGCGCCTGGCGTTGGAGGTCGCAGGAAGCAGGTACGTAGCGGCGGCAGGCAGCAGTGCAGCAGCGGTGGGCAAGAGTGGGAGTCGGCCTGGGGTCTGAGGTGGCCCAGCACTGGTTCCAGCCAGCAGAGAGCAGGGGAGGGGGGCAGGGTCTTCTTCGTCCTGTCTGGACCTCCCGGGGGCTTCTCGTCGCCACGGCTGGACACGGCTCGAACCATTCGTACGTTTGGACCCCGAGAGGGGTCCAGGGATCGATTTCGAGTTGCTCGAAGAAGAAGAAGAACAACAATACTAGTAACAATGATAATAACACACGGTATAAACATAAGATTTCGGAGGCGCGCCCTCAACAGGCGTAAGTCCCGCAGCCCCGCATTTCCTGGTCCTCGGGCGGTGGAAAGAAAAAAGGGGCGGAAGAGCGCGGTCTGCAACGTATGGTGCACTTCCGCGTTCGCCTCGGGAACGGACTGCATGCCCTCGAGCATGGGCGCGCGTGGCTCCACCAGACGCTGCGTGAAGGTGTTCCGAGGCGGGTCTGACTTCGTCGAACTCGATATCCACACGCCGCGGCGCGGCGGGGCGGGCGAGGCGACGAGAAGCCAGAGACGGCTCGCGGGCCCAGTGGGCGACTCGGACGACTCGCGAAGCGCCAATGGTGGGCCGACAAGGTTCGTGGCATAGTGGATGTCAGAGGTCCCGATGGGCGGCCTCGAAGGGCGGCGGCGACAGCACACACCGAGGAGCAGAGGACCGTGAGCCACGCTCGTGGTCGAGCGACGAGTGATCAGAGGGCCCGATGGGCAGGCTCACGACGGAGCCAAAAGGCATCGGCGACGATGCGATCGACGGCCCGAGAACGGCCCGCGGGGCCTCCGTGCGACTCCCAGGGCGCGCAGTGAGGTCAAGCGCTGAGTGGTCAGAGGGCCCGATTCTGCGGGGCAGGCAGGAGGAGGTAGGAAGAGGTGAGAGGAGGCAACATGAGATAATGTGATGTACGAGGAGGCGGGAGGGCGCGGGAGGAGGTGGAATGAGGTCGTGAGAAGTAGGAGGGGCACGAATCTGTACGTGAGAGGAGGATGGGGAAATAGGCAAGACGCATTGAGTAGCAGGCAGAAAGAAGTGAGTGGAGTGAGGACGGAGGAGAAGGTCAGAGGAGGTGGGAGGAGGAGGTAGGTGCAGGTAGAATGCGATGAAATGATAATGAGGGTCAGGAGAAGGGGGAGGACGCAGAGGATGAGGACAAGGGTGAGAACGACTGCGCGGAGAAGGATGAGTAGAAGGATAGCGATCAGGAGGAGGAGGAGGAGGAGCAGGAGGAGGAGGAGGAGAAGGAGGAGGAGGACGAGCGCTTGGCCTCTGCGTAAACCAAAGGGGATCAGGCTCGCACCTGCAAAGCAAGTTCACGCGCGCAAGCCGAAGAGAAAGGGCCCGCGAACCATGCTCGCGGTCAGGAGTTGGGAGTGATCAGAGGCCCAATTGGCAACCTCACCTCTGAGCCACAACCCGTCGGTGAGTATGCGGCCTGAGAGCAATTTGCGGGGCCTGAGGGCGGCTCGCGGCGCGCCACTTGCCTCTTCCTGTCCGGGTGACAATGCGGACCTTGCCAGAGGAACCGTTAAGAAGGCGTTGCCTCTGGGTTCCGAGCAACTGCACCCCGCTGAATCAGCCAGGAGCCCACGAAATTGGCGACGGTTGCGCAGTTCGCAGCCACCCAAGGGGGCCGCGATGTCTCGGCTGGCTGCGCGTGCAACTCCATTTTGCTGGACTTACCAGGAGCCATCGAAAGTGGCGACAGTGGTGCAGTTCGCAGCCCCCCAGTGAGCCGCGAGGTCTCGGCTGGGTGCGTTCAGAACTCCAATCCGCTAGCCCTCCCAGGACACCACGAACGTTGCGACAGTTCTGCACTTCGTAGCCCCCTAGGGGGCCGCGAGGTTTCGGCTGGGTGTGCGTACTGGACCTCCCAGGACCTAATGGAAGTGGTGACGGTTGCACACTTCGCAGCCCCTCATGGAGCCGCGAGGTCTCGGCAGGGTGCATTTCCAACTCTATTCCGCTGCCCCCCAGGAACCCACGAAAGTGGCGACGGTTGCGCAGTTCGCAGCCCCCCTGGAGTCGCGAGGTTTCGGCTGAGTTCGTTTACAACTCCACTCAGCTAGGCCTCCCGGGTGCCCACGAAAGTGGCGACAGTTGCGCACTTCGCAGCCCCCCCAGAGGGCCGCGAGGTCCCCGCTGGGTGCGTTTACAACTACCTTGTTGGGCCTCCCAGGAGCCCACGAAATTGAAGACAGTTGCGCAGTGCGCAACCCTCTCAAGGAGCCGCGAGGTCTCGGTTAGGTGCGTTTACAACTCTACTAGCCCACGAACATTGCGACATTTGCGCAGTTCGCTGCCACCCCAGGGAGCCGCGAGGTCTCGTCTGGGTGCCTTTTCAACTCCATTCCGCTGGGCCACGAAAGTGTTGAGAGTTGCTCAGTTCGCAGTTCCCTCAGGAAACCGCGAGGTCTCGGCTGGGTTTGTTTACAACATGCCTCCCAGAGGCCCACAAAAGTGGCGACCGTTGCGCAGTTCGCACCTAGCCAGGGAACTGCGAGGTTTCGGTTGGGTGTGTTTACAGTTCCACTCCTCTCGGCCTCCCCTGTTGGCGGGGAAGGAACAAACGAAAGTGGTTCCCCCTCGACGTACTTACGACATTGTTCGATCTCCTCCTTTGTTTGATCTCTTCTCTTACGACGACGACGACGACGACGACGACGACGACAACGACTACAATTCAAAAAGAGGCTGGCGTACTTCAGTTTGAGTTGGGTTGAACTCGCGTCGAAAGGGCCTCTCACACGCCGACTAGGTGGGCTGGTAACACTTCCGTTCATCGTAGGCTATACGAAAAAACATGAGTGCGTATAAATTGTTGACGCTTCGCGGATCCCCACCAGCCCATCAAGAAACGATGCCCAGAGGAATTGCCTCGATCGGGGAACTGGGCAGCACACAGAGGAAGACATTATGAGACATCTTGGGATATGTTGAGCCATCTTGGAGGTCATTTTGGGTTCTCCCAGGCGCTCTTGGAGTCATCTTAATCAGTGCCCCCCCAAGAGGCCAACATGTGGCTAAAACCTTTTCGCAAAATCAATGATTTGCCATTCTCGCCGAGGCCTCTTGGAGCATCTTGGGTGCGTCTGGAGGGTCTCTTGGGGCCTCTTGGGGTTTCTTGGGGGCCTCCCGGGGGCCTCCTGGGGGCCTCTTGGGGCCATCTTGGGGCCATCTTGGGACTTCTTGGGACCTCCTGGCCGCTTCTTGGGGCCATCTTGGAGGAGATCGATCAAACAAGAGGGGAGCTTTAATTAGGGTCCCCCCCCCCAGGATACCAAAATGGGCCACAACCATAGTAAAACCAGTGAGGCCGTTTTGGACGCTCCGACGACTCGCGAAACCCCCCGTACAGGTCCATGGGGAGGGGGTAGGGGAGGGGTAAACGCCTCCCCGAAGGGGAAGAAGGAGGTGCGGAAGAGGGCACGCTCTAATCCACCGACGCCCAGAGGGCTGGTGGGATTCGCGTCGAAAGGGCCTCTCACACACGCCGACTAGGTAGGCTGGTAACAGTTCTTCCGTTCATCGTAGATTATACGAAAAAAACGTGAGTGCGTATCAATTCTGCAGTCGATCTCCCATTCGAATCGTCCCCGCCGACAGCCGCTGGAAAGCGCTTAATGCGCCCAGTCAGGTCCCGAGGTTTGGCTCGCGGGTGTTTTTGTATTGTCTTGCTTTCGTCCCTGCGGACAGCACCCGCGCCGCCAGCCTTGTGCCCTCTGGCCCGGTTCCGCCCCACGCCTCGTCTCTCTGGATGGAGGAAGGCGGGGAGGTTGGAGCGACTGACGTAAGGATGGAAGGATGGAGCGACAGAAGGACAAAGGAAAGACGAGGGAGGGGAGAGGGGAAAGAGCGCAGGAGAAAGGGGCGATGACGGCGGCAGCGACGAGGCGGAGCTTTGTGCAGGAAGCAGCGTTGGCACAGTTGTTTGAAGCCCATTGTTTCTGTAGAACCAGAGATCCCCAAAGACTACTGCGCCTCTGTGTGGCCGACCACGTTTTGCTCCTCCGGTGCACTCCCTGACCCCTTCTCAGGCACACCTCGCGCCTTCGCCCCCAAGTTTTCGACAGCCCCCCCTCCCCAGCCCGCGCAGGACAAGGGCAACGTGTTCTCCCTGTCAGGCGAGCCGGTGCGTTGTATACCATAGTTTTCGCCGATGTTCCGCGACATCATCATTCAAGCAGTGACGAAGCATCTTGGCATGCCTAGAGGCCAATTCTAAGAGCCCTTTGTGTGGTTCGCACGAAATGATCTTAGAGCATGTCCGGTTGAGACCGTCTTGATAACACGTCGGCTTTTTGTTGGTTTGGGAGCGTTGTTTTTTGATATCTGAACATTATTTAAAGCAGTGGCGAAGCGCCCTGGCGTGCCTATAGCCCTGCCAAACTATGTTCTAAGAACCTGTTGTGGTTTCCACGACATGTTCTTAGAACATTTCTGGCGGAGTTTGTCTTGTTTTATCACATCGGGCTTATTTTCTAAGAACATCGTTTTGGTTATTAGAACATGTTTTGGTTCTAAGGCAACTTCGTGGTAGGACTATAGGAATGCTGGGACGGTCGGTCCCTGCTCAATTCTTTTGTCCTCAGGAAAGTTAGTGGTAGCCTCATGCCGGGCCCCTGATCACCCGTGCTCCTCGAGGCCGGCGTAAGCAGACCCGTTCACGCATTCGTTCGAGAATCATATCGCTGTGGGCCCTCCTTTGCACCTGGGGCGCCCCTCGGGGCCAGCACGCGCCGCCACATGGCCCCTTGGGGCGAGCTGTGGCAAAATAGGCTGTTCGTAAGCCGACGTGCAGCTCCCTCGAGTGCCACATCAAGTGTAGTCCACGGAGAGCTCCTCTTGAGCGGGTCGACTCTACGATCGTTGTAGGCATTTATGTTTCGATCGAGTCGAGTTGATTCGTTGTTCTACGCAGCTGCCCGCGGAAGGCCCCGCCGCCTTGCGGGTCACACCAAGACGGGGGGGGTCACGAGGAGACGCTCGGGGGAGGGGCAGAGGGACGAGGAGGGCCATGGAGATGGGCACGAGGGAGGCGGGGCAGCGCCAGGCCCGCGCCCAGGACTTGAGAGCGGCAGGGCCGCGGGGGTGCAGAACGGGAGCCAGCCCGGCCGATTGCGGAGCGCCCCGCGGTCCAGGCAGAGATGCGCTCCTCGGCGAGCTGGACAAGGACGACGCTGGCACGCGCAAGCAGAGTCTCCCTTGACCTGCTCGCGCGCTCAGTTGTCATGGCCTTTTCCCTTCAGGGCCCCCCCCCCGTCACCACAGTCAGTCGCGGCTCGGAGGGAGTTTGTCAGGACGGTTCCCAGGAAGTGTCCCCAACGAAGTCTGCACCATCAAGGTTCGGAGTGCAGCCAGCGGATTCTCGCGTGGGAGTAGGCCAAGGTGTGGTTGTTGGCAAATGCTGGTCTGCGTCGGGAGTGCGTGGTCAAAACGGCGCCTTCGCCCCAGCCCCAGCCGCTTTCCCAGATCGGAGTGGCGATCCCGCCTCATCGACAGTCTCTCGCAGCTCGGAATGGCGATTCCACCATGGCGGCGCCGCCCACGTTCACGCTGTTGGCCACGTTCCAAGCCCAAACTGCACTGTCCCAAAAGAGTCGACCACGTTCTTAGCCAAGAGTGGTGCTCTGACCCCAGTGCATTCCACGCCGCTCCGAATGATGCCAAAGGTGCTCCCACCTCGGTGCTACGTTCCCACTTTCCAAGCTCAGCAGCAGCTGTGGCTGCGTTGTAGGAGCGGGAGTAGTGGTGGAAACCAATTGCCCTTGCCAACCCAACCAGCCAGCCCAACCGACCCACCCAGCCCAACCAGCCCAACCAGCCCAACAAGCCCAAGCAGCCCAAGCAGCCCAACAAGCCACCCCGCCACCCCGCCAACCCGCCCTCCCCCGCCCTCCCCCGCCTCCTGCCCTCCGTCACCGCAGAGAGGGGGGGCGAAGAGTTTCTCACCAGCGAAAACCAGAAAACTCACCCTCCCGGGGCTCGGCGGGACAGCGGGGAGGGTGCAAATCGCACCGTTATATGCATGACCGGGGTTCGCGCCGAGGTAGTTCCAAGACGGTTTTGGGCCTCAAGTGTGATACCGTCGTCACTGTTTCACCCGTCACCGCACCCTCTTTCTCAACGGAAAGGCTCCCATCCTCGAAACCGTCTTCTTTTTTGCGGCCCCGTCTGTGGTTTGTTAGAGGGCCGACAGGAGGCTTCAGAAGGCCTCAGGAGGCCCCAGGGAGCTCCAGCGGACTTCAGGACGCCCCAGGAGGCCGTGGGAAAGCCCAGGAGGCCGCAGGATGCTCCAGGACGTTCCAGGCTGCCCCGCGAGGTCCCACGAGGCCCCAGGGGTCCCCAGAACAGGAGACCCCAGGAGGCTCCAGGAGATTCCAGGAGGCCCCGGGACGCTCCAGGAGGGCCCCAAACGACTCACACAGTCCCAGAACGCTTAGGCCGCCCCCGGAAGGGGCTAGGGTACACGAGGAAAACCTTGGGGGTCTCCAAAAGTTCACACGTTCGGCTGTAGCCGACACATGATGACCTTAGACAATATCCACGACACCATACAGAACTAGTAATTCGAACCCACCGTACACATCGGAGTGGAGAAGAGGATAGATATGGATTCGTGAGACACGTGCGACGTGAAGGTGAGCAACGAAACGAGGCAGCCAACATACATAATGAACACGCTTTGGTGACTGGAAGCAGCAAGCTTACAGTGCCACAGAGTGACGCCCCAACAAATACACTTGGTCAAATTGGTGTCTACCCCCGTGAGGGGCGTTACAGGGTAGTAGTAGTAGTAGTAGTAGTAGTAGTAGTAGTAGTAGTAGTAGTAGTAGTAGTAGTAGTAATATGAGTAGTAGTAGTAATATGAGTAGTAGTAGTAGTAGTAGTAGTAGTAGTAGTAGTAGTAGTAGTAGTAGTAGTAGCAGTCGTCGTCGTAGTCGTAGTCGTAGTCCTAGTCGTAGTCGTAGTAGGAGTAGGAGTAGTAGTAGTAGTAGTAGTAGTAGTAGTAGTCGTAGTAGTAGTAGTAGTAGTAGTAGTAGTAGTAGTAGTAGTAGTAATAGTATCAGTAGTAGTAGGTAGTAGTAGTAGTAGTAGTAGTAGTAGTAGTAGTAGTAGTAGTAGTAGTAGTCAGTAGTAGTAGTAGTAGTAGTAGTAGTAGTAGTAGTAGTAGTAGTAGTAGTAGGTAGAGTAGTAGTAGTAGTAGTAGTAGTAGTAGTAGTAGTAGTAGTAGTAGTAGTAGTAGTAGTAGTAGTAGTAGTAGTAGTAGTAGTAGTAGCAGTAGTAGTAGTAGTAGTAGTAGTAGTAGTAGTAGTAGTAGTAGTAGTAGTAGTAGTAGTAGTAGTAGTAGTAGTAGTAGTAGTAGTAGTAGTAGTGTAGTAGTAGTAGTAGTAGTAGTAGTAGTAGTAGTAGTAGTAGTAGTAGTAGTAGTAGTAGTAGTCGTAGTAGTAGTAGTAGTAGTAGTAGTAGTGTAGTCGTAGTAGTAGTAGTAGTAGTAGTAGTAGTAGTAGTAGTAGTAGTAGTAGTAGTAGTAGTCGTGTGGTGGTGGTGGTGGTGGTAGTAGTAGTAGTAGGTAGCAGTCGTCGTCGTAGTCGTAGTCGTGGTCGTAGCCGCAGTAGTCGCGTAGCAGTCGCAGTAGTAGTAGTAGTAGTAGTAGTAGTAGTAGCAGCAGCAGTAGTAGTAGCAGTAGTAGTGGTAGTAGTAGTAGTAGTAGTAGTAGTAGTAGTAGTAGTAGTAGTAGTAGTAGTAGTAGTAGTAGTGGTAGTGGTAGTGGTAGTGTTAGTGTTAGTGGTAGTGGTAGTGGTAGTGGTAGTGGTAGTGGTAGTGGTAGTGGTAGTAGCCGAAGTAGTAGTGGATCTGGTAGTATGAGTAGTATTTGAATTTCCCCACATGCTTCGTCGTGGGGTTCGGGTTGTCTTCCCTGCCGCACCCGCGTCTCACACACCTCCCGCCTCCTCACCCACACACTCGCACACAGCCGCACGCATGCACACATTCGCACATACAAGACGCATGTTCACTGCATCATACACCCAAGACGTCTGCACGACATACTGGGCAACACGTGAGATATGTCCCGATATGGCCGCACGCGCATCATAGACATACACACGGCAAGCCATGCGGCAGGCGAGCAGGCGTGGCATTTCCTCGACACCATAGGGGGGGCGCAGAGGGTGGTCCCTCAGCGGGGCCTCTATCCGTGACACGCTCGCAGGGCGTGGCAGGCGCGGCAATTTCTCGACACCGCTGGGGGGGCGCATCGCACATACAAGACGCATGTTCACTGCATCATACACCCAAGACGTCTGCACGACAAACTGGGCAACACGTGAGATATGTCCCGATATGGCCGCACACGCATCATACACATACACACGGCAAGCCATGCGGCAGGCGAGCAGGCGTGGCACTTCCTCGACACCATAGGGGGTGCGCAGAGGGTGGTCCCTCAGCGGGGCCTCTATCCGTGACACGCTCGCAGGGCGTGGCAGGCGCGGCACTTTCTCGACACCGCTGGGGAGGCGCAAAGGGTGGCCCCTCAGCGGGGCCTCTATCCGTGACACGCTCGCAGGGCGTGGCAGGCGTGGCACTTCCTCGACACCATAGGGGGTGCGCAGGGGGTGGTCTCTCACCGCGGCCGCTATGCACGACAGTCGTCCAGGCACAGCAGGCGTGGCACTTTCTCGACACCACAGGGGGTGCGCAGGGGGTGGCCCCTGAGCGCGGCCGCTATCCGTGACACGCTCGCAGGGCGTGGCAGGCGCGGCACTTTCTCGACACCACTGGGGGGGCGCAGAGGGTGGTCCCTCAGCGGGGCCTCTATCCGTGACACGCTCGCAGGGCGTGGCAGGCGCGGCACATTCTCGACACCACATGGGGGTGCGCAGAGGGTGGTCCCTCAGTGCGGCCTCTATCCGTGACACGCTCGCAGGGCGTGGCAGGCGCGGCACTTTCTCGACACCGCTGGGGGGGCGCAGAGGGTGGTCCCTCAGCGGGGCCTCTATCCGTGACACGCTCGCAGGGCGTGGCAGGCGCGGCACATTCTCGACACCACATGGGGGTGCGCAGAGGGTGGTCCCTCAGTGCGGCCTCTATCCGTGACACGCTCGCAGATCGTGTCAGGAGTGGCACTTTCTCGACACCACATGGGGGTGCGCAGAGGGTGGTCTCTCAGCGCGGCCTCTATCCGTGACACGCTCGCAGGGCGTGGCAGGCGTGGCACTTTCTCGACGCCACAGGGGGTGCGCAGAGGGTGGTGTCCCTCAGCGCGGCCTCTATCCGTGACACGCTCGCAGATCGTGGCAGGAGTGGCACTTTCTCGACACCACAGGGGGTGCGCAGAGGGTGGTGGTCCCTCAGCGCGGCCTCTATCCGTGACACGCTCGCAGATCGTGGCAGGAGTGGCACTTGCTCGACACCACAGGGGGTGCGCAGAGGGTGGTCCCTCAGCGCGGCCTCTATCCGTGACACGCTCGCAGATCGTGGCAGGAGTGGCACTTCTCGACACCACAGGGGGTGCGCAGAGGGTGGTCCCTCAGCGCGGCCTCTATCCGTGACACGCTCGCAGATCGTGTCAGGAGTGGCACTTTCTCGGCACCACAGGAGGTGCGCAGAGGGTGGTCCCTCAGCGCGGC